TGTTTTGAGATCTTTTCAAGTAAAAGAAAAAAAACTTAAAATTTGATTTTTGAGATCCAAAAACATGGTTCTTATTTTTCAATCATTGGAGATGATCGAAAAATGATTGGAAAACATGGTCCTTGTTAATGTTTTGGTCACTTGAACTTACATGCAACCTATCATTTACTTAAAAACAAGAGAGGATGACATGATGTCTCTCTTATTAAAAAAAAATTAAGCAAGAGGAGATTAGTTGGTGTTAATGGGTTCCATTCGATAATGAATGTTTGATGTTGATGGTTTCTACCTATAAACATGACTAAAAAAAATAGATCTATTTTGTTGAAATGTTTTTTATTCAGTTGATTTTTCTTTTTTAATGATTTTGTGTTTGATAAGTGGTTTATGAAGGTTTTTATGGTGTTTTATGGCATCTATCGTCCGAGTTTTTTTTGTGAGAGGTCACATTTTAGCTTGGTGATATTTTGAAGAAAATAGTTTGATTTGTGTTGATTTTTTTCTCTTATATTTTATATAAATTACTTTTATTTACTTAAATTTTTATAAAAATACAACTCATTTGTTATTAGGAACAACAATTAACCTCTAGAATAAAATGAAAGAAAACATTTATAAAAAGGGATAAGATTTTTGAAAAAAAAATAGTATAGTAAATTAAAAATATTGGCAAAATAGCACAATTTGAAAAAGAATTGGTGAAATAACACAATTTCATATTATTAAAATTCTAAAATGTGATATTTTATGGATGTCGTGTTTCTAAAGTGCATCAATTTACCCTATCACAGTTTAGAACCGCGAATAAATACCATATCATAATTCAAAATTATAACATATTATGAAAGTAAACCCCAACCCTTTTCTTCCCCCCCAGTAGAATAATGATATTTTGTTATATATGAGTTTGTAGTTGATTTTAGTTTATTTAATGCATATATCATATTGATATATTGTTTTTTATATTATTTTTACGTTAAATTGATATTGAGATTTCTTTATATATAATTTGAACTAATAGAATATTTAGCTTTAGTTTGAATCTTGTTGAGTTCTTGAAGTTGCAAGTATCATGAAATATATAATTGTACGATTAACAAATCAAATAATTTTTGGAATTGGAGTTATTATGCAATTCTCGCTAAATTCATATGGATTTTTTATTATAAAATGCTTGATAAAAAAATTAATTACAAGATATGAAAACAAGACAAAATGTAGTAATATGTAATTCCCTATAAATCCAAAAGAAATTTCGATTACAAGCTAAATTATATTAAAAAAAATTGCAAAAAATGTTGTTTTCATGGTTCATAAAAAGAATAAGAAAATGCATGTTATAAAAAGCTAAGACCATTTTGTAAACCACTTCGACCAATTTGGCAACTAGAAATGTTTAAAAATTGTTAGTTGTCATGGTTCCAAAAGGCAACTCATGAAGAAGTCATGTTTTGTAAATGAAATATTTATTTAATGTTACATTTTGGAACCACAACAAGCACAATTGTGCTATTTTGTCAAAAAATTTACAGTTGTGTTATTTCATTAAAATTTTAAATTTTCTATGCTAATAACTCAAGATTGCCAAATGGCAGTCAATGTAAAAAACTTCCATGTGCAACTATCTTTAGTTTCTACTATAAGGATTAGATTCTCGATTTAATTACTATTAATAACTCGTTTTGATTTATAAATTTATTATTTTTTAATTTAATTTATAAAGCATAAATAACATCTTTTTTGTTTCTCAGTTAAAAAAATATGTTAAAATTGAGATTTATGATTTGTTTTGATTTTTTTATAAGATTATTGTGATATGAAACATACATCTTAATATTGAGTTGGTGTTTAATTTTTTGAATATCTATTTTTTATCATATAATTAAATTAAAAATATTTTAATATATAAAAATAGTTATTAAACGAAGTGGAGTCTGTAACTCAGGTCATAAGATTGGCGAGTAAATCTGAGTCACAAGTTTGGTTAGTCAACTCAGATTAACCCAAATCAATTTCATATATTATCATTTCAATATTTAAAAAATATATATCATTTTGAAATGTTTTTTAAAACTCAAACCATAAATTTACTGGTCTTAGTGATTGTTATTAGACCCCTCAATTTGATTGATTGATGTTTGAAAAACTATAAGATGATTTGATTTGAAATTCGGGTTAAGCAAAGAATCAAATGATGAAATTTTAAAGTTAACTAGTTAGATTAAATTTAATAACACCGTCAAAGAATTTTTTATAATTTAAATAGATATTTTTTATATTCAAATTTTTTTTTTACCCGAACCCAAGTATAGCATGTGCAACTATCTACCTATTTTACTGGCCTTTAGTTTGGCAAGACATCTTGGATAGTCGTTAGCTGTTATCTACTACATAAACGATCAGACAAAAGTCCATACTTACCATGTGAAATATGATCCAGAGCACCATGAGTGCATTACAGACTACTAGGTTCTTATATAAAAACACCACCACCCAACTTGCATTTGATTGTTTAGTAGGGGTTAGATAGCATTTGATTGTTTAGTAGGGGTTAGATAGCCAGCCAGCCGCAAATTTTAGAAAAGCTAGGGTTTGCGTTGGAATATTATACAATAACCGTTCTAGGGAGATTCTCAACAGGGTGTGGTGCGAGAGAATTATCTTTGTTTTTTATTTAATTAACCACAAGAAAAAATGTTATTATAATATTGTATTGGTGTTGTACACACTTTCTTTTGACTTGGATACTGTAAAAGGGAATCACAAGCAGAATTTAGAAGAATCCACGCATGTGCTGGTTTTGCCTTAGGCCCTTCAAACAGGAGGAGAATTTTTCAAGTGTTCTAACTGGGAATGAACGGTAACAAAATCTCTTCTGCATAGTGGAAGAAAGGAGGGCAAGAGAATCACCTGTAAACTTATATATTATATACAATATTGCAAGTACAAAAACAGTCGTCAAGTATTGTTTTTATCCTCCTTTTTTTTGTCATATGAGTGCTCTATTTGGCTGGACAAGGAAAGGAGTAGGAGAGAGGCGCCGGCCTTCTCTCTTTACTTGTTTTCATTCACATCGCTCAAAGGGAAATCTACATCTGAATTGTTATCCCAAATAATAAATAAGCTTGTTTGTTCTTAGGGAGAAGTGCATATATATTCTCAAGAATGTAAACGACCACGTTCTATTGAATTCAAAAAAAAAAAAAAATTCAATGAGTTTAATTTTTCATATTTTTATTATAAAAGACTTCATACTTTATTATATTTACAGTATTGTCCAAGCAATGCGTTTAAAAATTACATTACAATCATAAACTATTCAAAACAAATTCTCATGAAAGATTTTCTTGAGAAAATTAATAAAAAAGGTAATTAATTTTTTAATTACAAAGAAGGTAATATAGGAAATATGAACTTTGTTAGAATAAGTACTAGAAATTTAATGAAATTATTGGTTTTGAGAATTCTTGGTAGAACTTTTCGATTGAAGCATGCCTGTGAGCATTGCATGAAACACTAAACAAAATAGTGCAAGCCCAGGCAGGCAATAACTTGGACCATGCTATTAGTTAGAACCAGTGAAGGATTCGTGGAGGCTTTTCGACCACCAATCCCTGACCACAGTCCAGGTGGTGGCCATTCCATCCACAACTAATTAAGACAATGGAAATCCTTCGATTATTATTAAAAAAAATTAAAAAATAATAAAGACAATGGGAATCCTAGTCGCACTTATTTCACTTTTATTATTATGGATTTGTATTCCTCGTGGTTTTTAAGGTGCGTTACATACATATGTATTTCCACTTCGAGCTTAAATGAGACAATATTAAGCATCTCTGATATATTGGTAACATCATCTAGATTAGTTTTTGTTTGTACTTTTATTTATCTCGTTATTTGTTTTTTATCTTTCTCCAGCGGAAATTCACTACCAAATTAAGATAAGAATTTTTTTTCTTTTCATTTTTTTTGGTTTATTTTGCGTTATTTTTTTGTCTTTTAATTTTTTTTAATAATTACATGAATGTTATTGCTGGAATTCTTTTCATATAAGAAAAATTTTGCAGAATTTTAGTTTTTTTTTTTTCAATTTATTTGTTCAATTTTAATTAAATATATAGGATTAATTCTAATTATTATTTTGGATTTTTGTAAATTAGGGTTCAATTGGTTAGATATATTTTTTAATTTAGTGAATAATTTTGTGTTTGAATAATTTGTAGTTTAGGGTTTTGAGTTGTTGAAAATTAAGAGCTAATTGATATAATTTTAAGTTGTTGTAAATTAAGGGTTTATAAAAATTTTGATTTATATGTTAGGTTAATTTTGATGTTTTGAATAGTGTTTAGAAATGCATGAGTTGTGTATGAATGTTGAAATATGAAATTATAAAAAGTAAGTTAATAATATTATTTGAGAGAGAGAAAACAAGACACTTTTACTATTTAACTTCAGAAATTAACCAAATTGTTAGAAAAATTTAAACAAATTGTTGTACATAAATGGAAATACCAATGACCTCTAAAATTATATATATATAAACTTGGTTGTGTACAAATTGAGTGAACTCTTCACTCAAAGACAAGGAAAAATATTGAATAAAATCAACTAGTTTATGATAATTAAATTTAAATAATTGCATATTTGCAAGTTAAAAAATTTTAGGTTGTCTCCTATAAAAGAAAGGTGTTACCGAATTATTTTAAATTATAAATTGCTACAATATTTAATCCTTTAATTTCTGTAGATGTTTAGGGGAATGTCAATAGTGTCATATGGACTGGATCACTGCTAGTTCTTCTTGGAGCACTTTTGATGACTAGAGTCTTTTGGTGCCAATCAAGAATAGGCACCTAAGCATAAGTAGTCACTCTCGACACAAGCTCGTCGAGTGATATGTCGCCACATTGAGGGGGTTCCCTTCATAGATGGATCCATTTAGTTAGAAATATTAGGCTTAGTGGAAGAATGACCTTACAATGTAAATTTGTTTTCCCTTCATAGTAACATTTTAATAATTTTTTAAAAACTAATTTCAATTAATGAATGCAATTCCAGGTTTACAAACATTAAGGCTATTAATTAGAACCATGACAGTGGCAATTAAATCATTAATGAAAATTTTATTATTTCAATGGAGTCAAGTTTTCAAATATCTTAAATAGAAATTTATTATTGATGCATGGTTTAAAAGGTTTAAGGTTAGCATTGATTTAATTTTTTTTCATATTAATTTGGTTGGTTTATTAATATTAATGAAAAAAATACAAATTTTAATTGCAAGGGAAAATGTGAATGGGATAAAGTTAACAATGTTATTGCAAAGAGGGTTTGAGAGAATTATATTGCAACTAGATAAAATTAAAATCAATATAATTTTTTAATCCTTTTATCCAATTTTATTTTTTATTTGCTAACAAATAATTTATTTATACTATGTAGGTTGCATGATTTTTGTATGAGAAACAAAACAAAGCCAAAAAATATATGAGAGAAAAAAAGCTTTCAGGTTGGAAAGACGTGGCAATGTGAAAGGATCAAACCGTTGTATGTCTTAGAGGCTATTTGGACGTAATATATTCAACACGTGATGTCCAAACATTTCATGTGATGGTCACAATCTGGTATGAAGAACCAAAACTAGTGTCTTCATAGTTTTATTACCATGCACGCTAGTGATTTCATTTTGTTTTTTTCGCATACAAAACAGATGGTAAGATTCTTCTTTTATACATCCTTTTTTTTATTTAAAATATAATTAACTAACAAATTTTTTTCTTGTGGATTATGATTCTTAGACACAAGCTAAGCTTGATAGAGCATTTTATGGAAATGCACATGCAGAGTAATGACAGTAAAAAATGGGTGCAATAGCTCATCGATAATCAAACTCAACACTTTATGATAAGTTGGTTTTCAACCATTTTTTTCATAAGCTTTTTTTTTTTAATTTGTTAACCTTTTTTCTTTCAGGATACATATAACACCTAGTTGAAGAAGAGATACGAGAACAATCATTCGACCCATCCAAATCTCGATCTAGATTTGTGATTGGAGGTAAGATTGTTTGGCGGCTCCAATCAAAATTGAGTGTATAATTTCTTTAACAATACAAATGAGGACTTATGGATGGCCCGCAGTCAACTATTGGATGATCGCAATCAATTCCGAGCAATCAAATTACAAAGTTCGAGTTGATTTTAGATTGAGTGGAAGCTCGAACAACCCATCTTACTATTTATTATGAACAACTTAATGCTAAGAAGGCCAAACTCTACTGATTAATAATAGAAATGAAATCACAAATGGGTGATATATGTGCGCTCTCTTATTGTCCCCATAATCCCAGCGAAGACTTGTCTCCTCCTCCTCCAACACCTCTGTTATAGATTAATTGTATTTGAACTTATAAATATTTAAATTTATAATAAATATTTGGTTTTTATGTTAATTTATTTTATTTAATTATTTTATACTTCCATTTAATATATTTTTAAAAAGTATATATTTTTAAATTATTACTGATGGTGTTACCGACTAATTAAATCTGTCTATATATTTCAGAAAAATAAAAAAGAATTACTACAAATTTCATTGTCATTGTTTAATTGCAAAAAAAAAAATTACATATGGTTGTTTTGTTGGTTTCTAAGTCAAATTGACCGAGAAAAATACCGACAATGAAAAAAAATCACCAATGGAATTATATATAGTTTTTCATTCAGTGATATGTCAAATTCACTTATGAAAATACCGATGGAATAAAGTAAGGAAATGTTTTTGGTGTGCTTTTGCTATCAGTGAATTCATTGGTAATGTTATTACCAACAAATCACAAATCACCAATGAGAATTTTTTCAATAAAGTATTTATATCCGTGAGATTATTGGTAGAATTTCTATCAGCAAACTAAGAATATAACTACCAATAAAAGATTTTAGTGATAAATCTAAAAAATCTAGTAGTGATAGTTACTAATATATTATGAAAAGGAATGAATGCTCGGGGCTTAACAAAACATCAAAAGAACAACATTGGAGTTAGAGGAATTACATTCTCATTTACAAATTTTTTATTTATTCTATCCTTTCAATGAAAAAAGAAAACTCGCCGAATTGGTTTGGATTTAAGACCTGTCAATAAACAAATTCGTGTTTATAACACTAATTTATTTGTTTAGTAGCATAGCACGGTTGTTGTATTAATGTATTAATTAAGATCTTGTAATTAGTTTGCGATATAATTTACAACCTTTATTAGGGATCAAACTTATCACATTATAGAGAATTAATTGAGTTAGTCAATAAAAATATTATCATTTATTGTACAATTATTAAATAATTTTGATTGATCCTATGTATAAGTTTGTTAATTGTGATAATAATATTTATCAGTTTATTTTTACGAGCCAAAAAAAATATTCCATGGTTTCGTGAGGTATGGTTAACCATATTGGCCAACTGATTAGTACTTAAAAGTGCATTTTTATCATGGTTTTATATCATCATTCTGCACTTGAAGTATCAATAACTCAACTAAAATATGGTTTATAATAATGTATCTAATAATATAAGATACCTATAATTTGTGCTAAATGTCTATTTTTAATGCAGGCCTATCCCATAAATGAAAGGATTGATTGATGACTTTAAGAACTTAAATTGCAAGGATAAAGAGATGACCAAACTTAGAAAAGAGATGTCGGTGCAATCCAAACCGGAACACTATTCGGTAATTGGGTCATATCTAGAGCTATATATCTCAGATTTAGGTCCAATTTATATGGATGGAAAGGTAAGACATAGGTAGGTCTATCACATAAATAAAAGGATTGATTGATGACTTGAAGAACTTAAATTGCATGGATAAAGAGATGGTCAAACTTAGAGAAGAGATGTCGGTGCAATCCAAACCGGAACACTGTTCGGTAATTGGGCCATATCTGGAGCTACAGATCTCAGATTTAGGTCCAATTTATATGGATGGAAAGATAAGACATAGGCCTACAACTTTCATATGGAGCCCAAGATCTAAAAAGGCCATTATCAAGTCCAAATTGTAGCAACAACAAAGAAGCCCGAATCTGTCTTCCAGCCCAAGCACTGTTCGGTATTTTGGCCATATCTGGAGTTCTAGAAGTCCAAATGAGCTGAAGTTTTTACACAAGAAAGCTGAGACAATTGCCTACAACTTTTATGTTTACAACTGGCTCCAATTTTGACGTTATCAATGACGTTTTGGGCAGACAAGAGAAGATAAGGATTGTCACCAAGTCAAAAGTTGGCCACCCACTTATCAATTAGTCATCAAATCAATAGTTCCCAATTTTGGCCTATAAAAGGAGGCATTTGCCATGCATTTAGGCATCTTGGTGTTCAGATCAAGATCATGCTCTTCCTTTCTCTCTTTGTATTTTTTGTAATGTTTATGCTTTGCTTTCATTAATATTAAGTTTATGCCTTTCATTTCCTTTCCTTTACTTAGTTAACTTTTATGTTCTTATTTTGTTTATCTATTTTGCTTTCTTTCATTATGTCTAGCTAAGTTAGTTATGTCAAGATGAAAAGGTTACACTAATGGTGTAAGAATAAGTATAATGTAAACTTAATATGGACTTTAATGTTTGATACTAACATGTTTTATATTTGTTATCTTGTTCACTCTTTAATACTTTGTTTGTTAAATGACTAATCTTGATTTATGTTGTATAACACTTGGTACAACAAATGCTTGGCACTTTCATAGCCCATAATGTATGGTATAACCGACACCTGAGCTATGAAAGGAACTTGATTTGTTGTTAACATAAGTTATAATCATGAATGCTTGACGAGATTTACAAGTATTAGCATTAATTGAATAAGATGACTAATGTAATCATGTTAACAATATATAATCTGATTGGAACCTCCTTTGTGTGTGGTTTCCAATTCAATAATAAGAGTTTATACTATACTTGTTTGATATACCATTAGTGGAACCTCTAACCTTGACATTTGTTATTATTATTGTTTAATCCTTACATTAATTTTCCATCTCCCATTAGTGGATCCTCTAACCTTGACATTGTTTGTTATCATTGTTTAATCCTTACGTTAATTTTTCATCTCAAAGTTCTCATCAACTTTTCTTCTTTTTCTTTTTCTTCCAAGTTCTCATCATCATCATCTTCTTCTCTTTCTTTATTACTACTACTACTACTACTACTACTACTACTATTATTATTATTATTGTTGTTGTTGTTGTTGTTGTTGTTGTTGTTATAGTTATTATTGTTATTGTCATTGTTGTTATTATTGTTATTACTATTATTATTGTTGTTGTTGTTGTTGTTATTATTGTTATTGTACTATTGTCGTTTATAATTTGTACAATTAACCTCCCTGTGGTTCGACCCCGGTCTTGCCGGGTTATTTATTACTTCGACACTCCTGCACTTGGGAGAAGACATCAACCTTTTAGTCGTGTCAAGTTTTTGGCGCCGTTGCTGGGGAGGTAAGTTCTTGTATAAATTATAGTATTTATTTTATTTTCTCTTTTCACTTTTCTTGTATATAACTTTGTTTCTTTTTATTTTGTTTTCTTCCTCCTTCTTTTGCTTTCTTCTTCTTTTTTATTTTATTGCTACACGTGCATGAGAGTGTGGTCACGTACATCAAGTGGTAGACTTTGTAGGATATCCTCATCATTTTCAGAAAATATGGCCGAAGAAGATAATCAATCACTTCATAATGAAAATAATGAGAATAACCGTGTTAGAACACTTAGAGACCACATGAATCCCACAAGAACAAGTGCACCATCATGCATAGTTTTTCCTCCTGATGCATCTCATTTTAATTTTAAACCAGGCATTATTCAACTTTTACCTTCTTTTCATGGTTTGGAATTGGAAAATCCATACTTGCATTTAAGGGAATTTGAGGAGGTGTGCAACACATATAATAATTTAAATTGTAGCATGAACACCATCAGATTAAAGCTTTTTCCTTTTTCATTAAAAGATAAAGCTAAAACATGGCTACAAAATTTAAGACCAGGATCCATTCGTGCTTGGGATGAAATGCAACAACAGTTTTTGAAGAAGTTTTTCCCATCTCATAGAACAAACTCTTTCAAGAGACAAATCACCACTTTCACTCAAAAACCAGGAGAAACATTTTACAAATGTTGGGATAGGTATCGAGACTTGCTTAGTACTTGCCCTCATCATGGTTTTGAAACATGGAGATTGGTTTCACATTTCTATGAAGGGTTAACACCTAAAGATAGGCAAATGGTTGAATTGATGTGCAATGGAACTTTTGAAGATAAAGACCCTGATGAAGCAATGGAGTACTTAGACTTGTTAGCTGAAAATGCTCAAAATTGGGACACCGCGGGTACATATGAGGCACCGAGTAAAACTCAACCTCATACATCTAGTGGAGGTATGTACAACCTTAGGGAAGATCATGACCTTCAAGCCAAGTTTGCATCTTTAGCTAGAAAAGTCGAGGCACTAGAATTAAAAAAGAGTGGTCAATTAAAATCTGTTGAAAACATTGTGTGTCAAATCTGTGAAACAAATGAACACTCAACCAACAATTGTCCAACCTTGCCTTCTTTTAAAGAATGTCTCCATGAACAAGCCCATGCTTTAAACAGTTTTCAAAGGGCCAACCATAACCCATACTCCCAAACATACAACCCTGGTTTGAGGAATCACCCAAATTTCAGTTGGAAGAGTGAGAACAACAATGCACAAACTTCACAACCACCGTTTCAAGCACACCATAATTTCCAAAATTCTCATGGATATGCACCTCCTAGAAGAAATCTTGAGGAAACATTGCATGCATTCATTGAACACCTTGAAAAATTCTGGAAAAATTAATAAAGTTGGATTGGATTTTTGAAGCAAGAGACAATCAATACTCAACTTGCTCAAAACATGACAGATTTTAAAGATACTCTTGCTAAATTAACATCTGCTCTCAGTTTCCAAGAGAAAGGTAAGTTTCCATCTCAAACACAACAAAATCCCAAAGGGCAATACAATGCAAATGCAAGTAGTTCCGGAAGCCAACACATGGATCAAGTCAAATCAGTCACTACTTTGCGCAGTGGTAAGGTTATTGAAACACCCTCTCTTGAACCTTATGAGAAAGATGATGAATCAATCTCTGAGGGTAAGGAATGGGATGAATCTGAAAATTGCAAAGAAACGACTGATTCACCGCCAGCACTTCCATTTCCTCAAGCCATGACCAAACAAAGGAAAGTCAATCACAATTCTAAAATTTATGAAATTTTCAAACAGGTAAGGATCAATATACCTTTGCTGGATGCAATTAAACAGGTTCCTTCCTATGCTAAATTTTTGAAAGATCTATGCACTGTGAAGAGGAAACTGAATGTGAAAAAGAAAGCCTTTCTAGCGGAACAAGTAAGTGCCATTCTTCAAAACAATAATGCTTTGAAATATAAAGACCCTGGTTGTCCTACAATTTCCTGCTTTATTGGAGAGCATAAAATTGAAAGAGCCTTACTTGATCTTGGAGCTAGTGTGAATTAACTTTTGTATTCAGTTTTTCAGAGTCTCAATCTAGGTGAGTTAAAACCAACTTCTATAACTCTTTTACTTGCCGATAAATTCATTTATCCTATGGATTTTATTGTCTTGGACACACAACCTGTTGAAGTATGTAATTCATTTCCTGTTATTTTAGGACATCCATTTCTTGCAACTTCTAATGCATTGATTAATTGTAGGAATGGACTGATGAAGCTATCATTTGGAAACATGACATTGGAGATGAATATTTTCAACATTTGCAAGAAACCTAGATATGATAATGATTTACAGGAAGTGGACTTTACTGAAAAATTAATTCATGATCAATTTCCAACCACTTCCAATGAAATTGAGATTGATGAATCTAATGATTTGGAAATGATTTATTTTCAGAAAGAATCAAAGACAAGTAATTGGAGGCCACAAATTGAGGAATTACCACCACGATCAATTAAGTCCATACCTTCAAGTGTTCAACCACCAAAACCTGATTTGAAGCCGTTGCCATCCAATCTCAAATACTCATTTTTGGGAGAAAATGAAACTTTTCCAGTAATAATCTCTTCCAAACTTAATGCACATCAAGAAGGTAAGTTATTACAAACTCTGAAAATGCACAAAAATGCATTAGGATGGACCATAGCCGATATAAAAGGAATTAGTCCTTTGATTTGTACACACAGAATTTATTTAGAGGAAAATGCTAAACCCTCTAGAGAAATGCAACGAAGGCTAAATCCTAATATGAAAGAAGTAGTGAAAAATGAAGTATTAAGCTTCTAGATAATAAAATCATTTATCCTATTTCTGACAGCAAATGGGTAAGTCCTACCCAAGTTGTACCTAAGAAGTCTAGAGTCACTGTGATAACAAATGAGAACAATGAGTTAATTCCCACTAGAACTGTTACTGGTTGGCGCATGTGCATTGACTATAGGAAACTTAATTCATTGACTAGAAAAGATCATTTTCCTTTACCTTTCATGGATCAAATCCTAGAAAGAGTTGTAGGTCATGAATTTTATTATTTCCTAGATGGTTATTCGGGTTACAACCAAATTGAAATTACATTGGAAGATCAAGAAAAGACTACTTTCACATGTCCATTTGGTACTTTTGCATATCGAAGGATGCCTTTTGGATTATGTAATGCACCAGCCACATTTCAAAGATGCATGCTTAGTATATTTAGTGATATGGTTGAACATTTTCTTGAGATTTTCATGGATGATTTTTCTGTTTTTGGCGATTCATTTGATGATTGTTTGACTAACTTAGAAAAGGTTTTGACCAGGTGTGAAGAGAAGAATCTTGTGCTGAATTGGGAAAAATGTCATTTTATGGTAACAAACGACATTGTACTTGGTCACATTGTTTCATCAAAAGGAATTGAGGTTGACAAATCTAAAATCGAGTTAATTGTAAACTTGCCAATACCAAAATCTCTTAAAGATGTTAGATCATTCCTGGGACATGCTGGTTTTTATAGAAGGTTCATCAAAGATTTTAATGTAATATCTAAGCCTTTAAGTAACCTTCTAACAAAGGATACTATTTTTGAATGGACTGAACATTGTGAAGAAGCCTTTGTTAAACTTAAAAACTTGCTTACTTGTGCTCCTATCATTCAACCTCCCGATTGGTCATTACCTTTTGAAATAATGTGTGATGCTAGTGATTATGTCGTAGGTGCTATTTTGGGACAAAGAAAAGATAAGAAACCTTATGTAATTTACTATGCAAGTAAAACTTTAAATAGTGCTCAAATGAATTATACCACCACTGAAAATGAATTACTTGCAGTAGTATTTGCATGTGAAAAATTCAGATCTTATCTTGTTGGCTCACCTGTTGTTGTTTTTAATGATCATGCAGCATTGAAATATCTTCTTTCTAAGAAAGATTCTAAGGCTAGATTGGTGCGGTGGATTTTATTACTTCAAGAATTTGATATCACAATCAAAGATAAGAAAGGCAGCGAAAATGTTGTCGCAGATCACTTGTCAAGATTGACAACAGATTCGAAAACTGACATCACACCAATCGATGACTACTTTCCCGATGAATCTTTACTTTCTGTCTCTACAATGCCTGAAAGGGAAAGCTTTCAACTTAACCTGTTCTTCATCAACTCCATTCGGTTTCATGCCAACGCAAACCATATGGAATTCCTTCCTTGAGATGAGTATGAGGATCTTCACCTACAAGACCATTAAATATTGGTATCAAATGCATAAAAATAGATTTGAGATCAAAGTTTACATTATTGTCGATGTTTATGCACAGTGGTTGATTTTCCACGTTAGCAGCAGCAAGCTCCTTGAGTATTTGTTGTCGTGCAATAGCTATGGTGTTGAGGCGAGCTTCCTTGTGTAACTTGTGTAAAGTTTTTTCTATTTCGAGATCCAACTACACTTGAATTTGATTAGTAGAATGGGTTAATGACATAAATCATCAAGAAAACTCAAAAGAAACCAACCACACAAGAGATCAAAAACAATGCAAATTGTATGAAAATCCTACGCTAGAAAACTAAAACTATCAAAACATCTTAGAAAACAGTGGAATTTGGCCTCAATAGGATAGGCTAGTAGTTCACTACTAGTCTTGTTCAGAACGTCATTTTCCTTTAGAAAAAGAGAAGCTGAAACCTAATTCCACAAACAATTCTGTTTTGAAGAGTACCGCTACCGCAAATGAAAAGTACCGCCGCAAGCAAAAATTCTGATTCTCTCTCTCTGTTTTTTTTTTAGAAATATAAATAAAAATCACAGCAACTAAAAATAACAGTATAAGCACAAGAATCAACTAAAATTACTTCCCCGACAATGGCGCTAAAATTTGTTGCGATGTCGCAGTCGCACAAATTAATTACCCTAGCTTAAAACACACAAGATAGTATAGAGCAAGCAAGGGGTTGATCCCACAAAAAAGATTTAGTTGAGATTTTTATGCTATACGTTATGCAATTGGGGGGTTTTGATTTGTGATGATCTAAACTATGGAAAAAATTAAACTAGTAAACAAAATCAATTGAAATCAAAATTTATAAAGAAAACAAACCTTGGTCGCAAGCACACATCCACCAATGGAAATTAGAACTGATCCTTGAAACTAAAATTACAGTTTATGTTTTGAAATTTTATCTTTACTTAATGTCGATTAATTAACGGATCCGCCGTATAACTAATCCTAACCAACAAACAATCAAAGTGTCTGCACTAATGATTCAATTTAATGGCAGCTTTAAGAACTAGATTATTTGATCAAGATTAACATACAAGTTGTCTGCAACTTGTGTCACTTTGTTCAAATGTTCTTCCTAAGTTCAATAACATAGTTCCGCCATAATTATCAAGCTTAGTTTCTTCACAAGTTCATATATCACAACTCCGGTTTTGATATTAAACTTAGCAATAGATTGTTTACAATAATAACTTAGAGTCCGCTCTAAAATCATCAACAACAATCATAGGAAATATGTATAGAAAAACAATCATACTCATTCATAACATAAACTGAAAATAAAGGAAGAATAAATCTCACAATTCTTGAAATCCGAAGGTTTGTTGTGTCCTTGCAACCAAGAATGGAGTTTAGCCTGCATAACTATTGAACAATTACTCCTAAAGAATGAAGAATGCATAATTTTTAGTTTCTTAGAGGAGGGGGGTGTTTTTCTCCTCTTGGGTGGCTGCCCCCCTTCTCTTTTCTCATTCTTTTTATATCCTAGGAAACCATAGTCTCTATTTTACAAAATAGTACTCCCTTAAGTTAGTAGTTTACATTTAAATACTTTAATAACTATTTTCCCTAAAAAGGAGAAATATCCTTGCATGAAATCTTGAAGCTTTGACTTAGAAGGGCTAAATTGCTGATATAAAAACTTGGATGCCGGTTTAGAGGCTTCGGAACGTAATTTGGACTCTTTTATTCACGAAACGTGTTTGCTGACAGAATTCAGTTGTCATCTTTAAAAAATAATATCTCAATCATATGACATCATTTATGGATGAAATTTGGAGCGTTTATATAAATTTGAGTTAGGAATCCAAAGAAATTGATTTGTGTCAATTGGACTTCTGTAGCTCCAGATATTTAAGTTTGAATGACCAAAGGTCAACACTAGCAAATTGCAAGATCTGAATTTGAAAGTTGCAATTTCCATGCTCTTCTTCATTTTATTTTCTTGCCTTAAATGTGTAGAAAGTTATGGATGTTATCTTTTTAATGCCACTGGAATCACTTCATTTTGACCTCTAGAGCTCATGCTCTGCACAAAACATCGACTGAAGGTCAAATTTACCAATTATCTCCAATTTACTCCTTTTTGCATCTTTCATCTAAAAGTGCCTTCAAAACATAAAACAAAGAATATTAAGGCATTTTACATATAAAACATGGACAAAACATTGGGTAGATGTGAGTGAAACTATCGAATAATATGGTTACATCATCTTTTGAAAGAGTTTGTTCTGTGAGAAGGAAAAAACTTCTTTAAAAACTATTATTGCATTTCATCCCAAGCATAATTGGATCCTGGTCTTAAATTTTATAGCCATATTTTAGCTTTATCTTTTAAGAAAAAAGAAAAAAACTTTAATCTAATAGTGTTCATGCTACAATTTAAGTCTTATAAGTGTTATAGACCTCCTCAAATTCCCTTAAATACAAGTATGAATTTTCTAGATCTAACCCATGAAAAGAAAGTAAAAGTTGAATAATGTCTGGCTTAAAATTAAAATGAGATGAATCAAGATGGAAAACTATGATGAGGGTGCACTTTTTCTTGTGGAATTCATTTGGTCTCTAAATGTTCTTACACGATTATTCTCATTATGAAGTGGTTGGTTATCTTTTTCAGCTATATCTTTTGAAAACGATAATGATACCATTCAAAGTCTACCACTTAATGTACGTGACCAAAATCTCATGCACGTGTAGGAAGAGAATAAAATGGAAGAAAATAAGAAACAAAATGAAATAAACAAAAGTTAGATAAATGAAAAAAGAAAAGAAAATAAATATTATAATTTATATAAGAATTTACTTCCTCGGTAACGGTGCCAACAACTTGACATGACCAAAAGATTGATGTCTTGTCCCAAGTGCAAGAGTGTTGAAGTAATAAGTAACTCGACAAGACCGGGGTCGAACCATATGGATGTTAACTATATAAATTATAAATAATAATGATGTTGATGATGATGGTGGTGGTTTAAAGAGGACTTTGAGATGTAAGATTGATGTGAGGATTAAAAAATGATAAATATAAATGTCAAGGTTAGAGGATCCACTAATGGTATTTCAAACAAGTATAATATAAACTCTTTTTAATAATCAACTAGAAACCACACATAAAGGAGCTTCTAATCGGATTATAAATGGTTAACATGATTACATTAGTTATCTTATTCAAATAATGCTAATACTTATAAATCTTGTCAGGTATTTATGATTATAACTTATGTTAACAATAAATCAAGTTCCTTTCACAGCATATGTGTAGGTTATACCATACAGTTGGGCTATAAAAGTGCCAAGTATTTGATGTACCAAGGGTTATACAACATAAATCTAGCTTAACCATTTAACAAGCAAAGTATTAAAAGTGACAAGATAACAAATACAAAACATGTTAGTATCAAACATTAAGGTCGATGTTAAGTTTATATTGTACTTATTTTTATACCATTAGTGTAACCTTTCCACATTGACATAATAAACTTAACTTAACATAATGAAAGAAGAGAAATATAAATAAACAAGAAGAGAACATAATTATATAAGTATAGTAAAAGAAATGAAAGGCATAAATAAGAGATTAATGGAAACAAAACTTAAGCATTATAAAAATATAAAGAAAGAGAGCAAGAACATGATCTTGATATGAAAAACAAGATGCCTAAATGTATGGAAAATATCTTGTTTTATAGGCCAAAATTTAAAACTATTGATTTATTGACTAATTGTTGAGTAAGTGGCCACATCTTGACTTGGTGACAATCCTTATCTTCTTGTATGAATAAAATATCGTTTCTAATATTAGATTTTGAATAGACTGTGTGAAAATTCTAGGAAATTGTCTCAACTTTCCAATAAAAAAAATTGAGGTCATTTAGACTTCTAGAACTCGAGATATAGGCTGAATATTAAACAGTGTTTGGGTTGCAGGATATATTTCGACTTCTTCATTGTTGCTATAATTTGAACTTGAAAACAACATTTTTGAATCTTGGACTTTGTATGAAAGTTTTAGTCATATGTCTTAACTTTCTATCCATATAGAGTAGATCCAAATCCAAGTTCTACAGCTCCAGATATGATCCAATGACTGAACAGTGTTCCAGTTTGGACTGAACCAACATCTCTTTTTCTTTTTTTTAAGCTTGGTCCTCTCCTTGTCTTCTAAAGTTTAGAAGTTAAACTCATCAATCAATCCTTTCATTTATGTGATAGACCTGCATTTAAGATGAACATTTACCTTAAATTAAAGGTATCTTATATTATTAGATATGATATAATAAAACATGCTCTAGTTAAGGAGTTATTGATACTTTCAATGCAAAATAATGATATAAAACCTTGATAAAAATGCACTCTTAAGTACTAAACAGAAGGAAGACTTTTCAATATAATTTTTTTTTGGTTTTAGTTTTTTAACTATAACTTAATTTATGAACAACTAATCAATATTTTATTAATTTAATTTATTTCAGGTTCACAAACATTGAGGTCGCCTGAGTAATATTATTGGTGTTTAAATCATCAATGGAGATTTTATTATTTCAACACCCTGAATAGATACCTTATATAGATGCATGGTTTGACATATTTGAGGTTGACGTTAATTTCTAATTTCCAACTTATTTTTAATAAATTTTTAATATAATTGTAAATAGATTATTATTTTGATTTAAAATTAATTATCTATACATAGGACAAAATCACATGGGACATTACACATGACAATGTTATGAAGAGGGTGTGGAAAAATCATATGGCAACAAGGTAACATAAAAAACAATACAATATTTTTTTATAAAAAATATGTTTTAAAATCTAATTTCCCACTATGGAAGTAGGTTGTATGATTTTTGATATGAAGTACAAAAAATAGCAAAAAAAACATGAGAGATAACGATCTCCAAAGCTGGAACAACATGATAATTTGGAGGGATCTCAAACCGCTGTATATACCAGCAGATATTTAGTTGCATTATATTAAGCACATGACATTTGAGCGGTTCACACAATTCTCACAGTCATGTGCTGGCAATCAGAACTGGCAAATTCATGGTTTGGTGACAACACATACCGGTTGCTTTGTTCCATTTGTTGCACATGCAAAACAGATGATAAGATTAATTTAAATGAAATATATCGTTAAATAATTAGTTGTTACTTTATTAATTTTTTTTCCTTACAAGCTATGTCTCTTGGACGCGAGCCGAGCCCAATAGAGTTGTTTGTAGAGACGCATGTGCGGAGTCAAGATCACCAAAAGGGAGTGCAATAGTTCGTTGACAACCGTGCTCAACACTTTATGGTATGTTCGTTCAACCATTTTATTTTGTAAGTTATTATTTTTATTGAATTGAATATGATGATTTCTTTTTTTATTTTTAGGAGATCTATAATAACCGATTGAGAGAGAGATATGGTGACGATCTTTCGACCCATCCGAATTTTGATCTGGATTCGTAGATAGAGGTAGAATTGTTTGGTAGACCTGATAAAAATTAGGTGTACAGGCTCTCCAACACTACGACAGAGAACTTGCAGGTGACCTATAATGTCTCAACTGTTGAGAGCTCCCAATCAATATCAGGTACCCAATCTGAGGATATTATGGCCTTGAAATAGCACACCGCTTAACTCACCGAAAAATATGAGCAACTCTCGATGAATTATGAACAACTCTGCCAAATGGTCATGAACATGACACCACAATGTGGTGATACATGTATACCCCTTTTTTGGCAGTATGGTCTTGGGAACAACCAGCCTCCTTTTCTTTCAGCAGCTACACCATTTTGCTAATTTAATATTTTTTTTTGGAAACTCATTCAATTTGTAATGAATATTATTTAATTTTTTTTATTTTTGATGTTTAATAAAATTCATTTGCATAATTGGTTTTTTTACTATTAATTTATATAATTTTATATTATTTATTCTAAATATGTTTTAAAAAAATTAAAAATACCCATTAACGAATTTACAGATGGAATGTATTCGTCGGCATTTCATAGAGAGTTAAAAAATATTTACTAGAAATGCCACAATCACTAACATTTTCACCGACGGATACTGTCCGTCGACTTTTTACAGAGAGCTAAAACATATTTACTGGATATGCCAATATCATCAACGGAATATCTATGCTGGTATACTTCCAGCGAGAATTTTTTTTGGTGAGCAATTTCTTCTGTAAAAC